CAAAACACATATATTTTGAAGCACCTGAATCAATGATCCAGGTGCTGGAATTGAAAACTGAGAAACATGAACCAAAGTACTGTAAAATTGTACCAGCAATTGCTCCTGCATTGAATCCAGTTGCAAAGTTACTTCCCTGCCTCACTTTGATATCTTTAGCTACCTGTTCAACCAAATTAGCATACTGGTCCTTGTTAAGATACTGACCAAAATTGTTTTCATGATTAGAACTATTTCCAGGATTAAGATTGCTTCTAATAGCTTCCTTATGTGAATTGTGAACTCCTTCAGTTTCAATACCTGCAAATTGCCCCATTTGCTTTGCTTGGATAGAACTTAGACTTGGTGAATTCAAGATCATCAGGAAATCCTATGAGTCTAAATCAATTTAATTCAACATGTCCTGTCTTTCCATAATAAGTACAAGTGACATTAGGATCATACTTGGTTCCTCTTACTTTTCCCCTTACTGCTCCTTTTCCATTTATTTGATTGTTGTTAATTGCAAACTTCTGTGTTGTATTTCTATTTCTCATTCCCTGATTTCCAGTTTTTTGATTAAATCTTCCTTGAGATGTTGCCATGAAATCTGCAGAGTCAGCAGTCAAAGTTGAATTGACATACACTTCCCTTTGATTCTCATCCTGGAGTAACAGGGAGTAAGCATGATCAATAGTTGGCAAAGGATTCATCATTAAGATGTTTCCTCTTGCTTGTGTTTACACATCATTGAGACCCATTAGAAACTGGATCAACTTCTGATCTTCTATGAACTTCACTAATCTATTCTTCCTTTCACATGCACATACACAAGTACAAGATATAGTGTGATTGAGAGAATCCAGTTCATCTCATAGTCGTTTGATTCTGGTAAAATATCCTGCTATGTCACTGTTATCTTGAACAAGACCTGAGAGTTCTTTTTGTAAGCACCATTAGATCTACCAAATGTGTGCTCCAAGCTATCCCATAACTCCTTTGCTGTATTGGAATAGATAACAATGTCCCCAATGTCTTTTGATAGTGAATTAAGCAGTCATGATATCACCATATCATTGAAGCAACTCCATTGTTCATAATCTACTGCATTCAAATCTGGTGCTTTACATGTTCCATTAATTAAACCTAGTTTCTTTTTTAACAGATAATGGTATCAGAACTCCTCTTCTCCAGCCTGGAAATCCTCTTCCATTAAAGATTGAATTGACAATGGTCATTCCTGGTGAATCAGAATGAGCAAGGAAATGAGGGTGATTGTTGTTGTGTGTGGTGTTGAGATTGGTGTTAACATTCACTTGAGAAGTCGTGACCAATTGAGGGATGTTTTCTCCCATCTTGCTGGTAAATTAAGGAAGGTTGAAAGATGAATTGGATCGAGCTATTGCTCTGATACCATGAAAGGATTGAACAAAGAAGATTGGGAAAATTTCTGATATCTTGTATTCCATTCAAAACTCTATATATATACAAGCATTTACTACTAAAATTAAATAAAAAATAAATAAAATAAAATAACCAATCATACACATGTCCTCCTTTAATTTGTACAAAAATAACAAAATTATTCCCTGACATGCTTATCACGTGAGCGGAGCTTCTTAGAAGGTTCCTTTTTTTGTACAGGTGACTTTTGATCCAATGGTCATGATTCCATCTTTGTATCTCTGATCAAAGGCTCTGATTCTTCCACATTAATTTCATATTTATGTTTTGATTTGGTCGGGGAAGCATTTTTCTTGTTTGAAACTTGAAGCTTTCTGTGTGTTGTTTTTTCTCTATCTTTTACAGATCTTTCAGATCTTCCTTCATTCAAATATGAAGAAGATGAAGAAGATGATGGTTCTGCAATAGTGAGCCAAGTATAATTAATGTTTTGATATTATTTAAGATAGGACAATTACTAAAGTTAAAATAAAATAAGAGAAATAAGCATAATATTAAACTACAATAGTAAGTATTATCAAACTAAATTTGAAGGCTAGTTTTGCTATTAATCTTTCAATTTTTTAGTTACAATGATTTTCTAGAAACATAATTGAAGTTGAGTGATTTTATAAAAGAAAATCTATAAATTAAGTGATTTAATTGATATAAAACCAAGTTGCATGACTTTTTCAAATAATTTTATATATTTAAGTGACCTTTTGAGATATTTACCCCATTAAGAACACCTAGGTAAGAGAAGATGAAAAGAAGTAGATTATTTAACAATAATTGGCATAACCGATTTTAAAAGATCAAATAAGATTTGCTAATTTAGTTGCATTAATTTCCTACTTAGTTATTGTTACTCCTGCTCTTCATCATCAGTTTCCTCACAAACAAATGATCTTCAATAGTGGTGGCAAATTAGCGGGTTGAGTTAAATGTGAGTGGGTTGAAAATGGGTAAACATAAAATAGGTAATCATTCAACCCGCCCATATTTGATAATGGATAAAAATGGGTTGGATAACAAATGGATTGGGTAAAATAGTAGTTTACCTATATTTTACCCATATTTCATGAATAAATAGTTTTTTACCTAAGAAATCAATATGGAGAAAATATTTTAGTCTTTTTTTAAATGAAATTTGTTGAAAATGCTTCATTTAGTTTTATTTTATTACAAAAGTAAAATAAAAAAGTTTTTTTAAAAAGGGGTGGGTTGGGGAGGGGCGCTGATAGGGGGTTAACGGGGGAGGGGGATTCAGGGTAGGATGAAAAAAAATTATTTGAAGTTAAAAATAATTTTTTAAAATAAACTTAATACTTTTGAAGAGTGGGGGTAGGGGGATGGTAGGGGTTGGGGGTTGGTAGGGGGTAGGGTTAGGGGGACGATGGCGGGGAGAGGGGGTCCAGGATAGAGAAAAAATAAATATTTGAAGTTGAAAATATTTTTTTAAAACAAACTTAATTTTTTTTTGAGTGGGGGTTGGTAGAGGAGGTGGGGGGTTGATTTGGGGGGGGGGGGGACTTTAGAAGTTGAAAACATTTTTTAAAAACAAACTTAAATTATTATTTTTTTGGGGGGTGGGGGTGGGGTGGGGGTTTGGGGGGTCGAGGGTAGGGGTGAAAAAATATTTTTTTAAATGAATTTTAAATTTTTTAGGGCGGGGTGAGGGTAGGGGTCGAGAGTTGAAATATTAATAGGGACCCATATATGAAAGTTTTGAAAATCGCTTCTAAAACTTGTTAACAGAAGGTTCATTGAAAATTTGAAGAAAACTTGCAATACCATATATGACCCGTAGTTTACCCATAATATACACATATTTTAACTAATGGGTAAAATATGCCCAAACATTAGGTTTAAGTTATCTGTGGCCCCTTAAAATTGTCCGCATAATTTACTTAGACACCTCAACTAAGACTATTACCTCTTCAACACTTTTTTATCTATTCATATTTGTTCCTATTAGACATTTTTCGATAATAAGTTAAAAAAATAAAGTGTGTGTAATGTGACAAAATGATAAATTAAAAGATAACATGTGGCGTAAGGTCCAACAACTATAGAAAAAAAAGAATTTATGTTTTAAAAAAATGAATATTATTTTAAATAAATTTTCCATCTATTTTTAAAAAATAAATAAATGAGAAGTCCAACCCTACCGAATCCCTATTCATTTTCATATTCTTTCCAACAAGATTTTCTTTCTCAAATGATAAAATTCAATATATTTGTTAATTGCTTCTATAGTTATTTTTTATTCCTAATACGTGAGTGAAAAAAATATTCAACGATTGATACAAGAGTGATAAAGAAAGAGAGTCTTTCAATTTTCTTGAAATCGATAGAAAAGATTAATTGAGAGGGCCTAAATTATTTTTATTGAAACAATTTGATATTATTTTTGATAATTTTAATGGGTTCACATTTTAATTTAAATGATAATATTTGTTCAAAGGTGACTCAGATAGACGTCGATTGGCTAATTTTTTCGATTTTATGTTCTCTCTTCTTTTTCCCTTCAAATTCACTTAGTCAATTCAATTTTTATTGTTTTTAATAAATATTAAAAAGAGATAGAATTGGGGGGGGGGGGGGGGGGACAATGTGCAGGTCTTCTTCTCTTTGGTGAAAAAGCCAATTTGAAAGGGGTGGGGTGGGTGCTTTTTTTTTTTTTTTTAACAATTGATATTAAGTTTAAATTATATTTTAAAATAAATAAACTATTTAAATGCCAAGCGGCAAAAAGTATCAATTTTTTTTTTGAAAAAATTAAAATAAAATAATATTTAAAAAAATTTCACGCGCTTAGTTGAAGTGAAAAACATATTTTTTGCCACATCAACATTTGTGTTTAATAGGAATACTTTTTGAACTGCTTAGGTGTTCAATAGGTTATAGGCATAATTGAGGTGTCTATATGAAATATACAGACAACTTTAAGGGTCTGCACATGACTTCGGCCCCAAATATTAACCATATTTAAAATTAATCTTTCAACTCATATGTGATGGACTATTTGGGCGGGTAAGTGAAAAGTGGGTTATGAATTTTATATTAAGAAAAAATGACGGTAAATGTAATGTTACTCTAGCAGTAATATGAATTTTTATATGAAAATAAAAGTAAAAGTTATATTACACATTATCCTGTCAATAAAAACTAATTATACTTGTTGCTCAAATATATATATAAAAAAAATTATGTATAAATATGTATACTATTATAAATTAATATGCAAAAATATATATTTGTAGGCTATTATTTTGATGTAAAAATGTTGTAATACATCTCGTTGTTCCGGCCAAACTAATTACAGCGGCTTGAGGACATACAAAAAATAAATATTCCTTACTATGATTATGATGAACGGCTGTATAAGTAAAAATCTCTAAGAATATTATTGGATGAATCATAACTTTGGAGAGCATATTAGAATTATAACAAAACATTTTTATTGAGATTGACTATTGAATGAGTGTAGTTCCGATCTTTTTGTTACGTTAACAAACATAATATGAATGGAAGTGAGACTGCTATATATGCTCTATTCATTAGAGGTCCATAGCTTTTTCCTTCATCAATCTCTCTCTCTCTCTTGGCCTGTCGATTCAAGCTTTCTTTGTTAATACTATTCTTTTTCAAGGCTTGCACATTGCATTGATGAACATGGTGTAATAAAATGGACCGGAGGGCACTAACAGATTTCATAAAAATGTGGGATTATATAAGTTTTTGGTAGTTATTTTAGGGACGAATTGATTTTTTGGTGAAATGCTTCGCATTTCTAATATTAAAACTGAGAAATTTCTTCTTGTTAAAAATATATCAAGATTGAACAACTATATGTATGTACTTGTTTGGACTTTATTGTATAATTTTTGTGTTTGGTGTATACGAGTTAGCTAGCTAGGGAGATAGAGCTTCCTTGCCAAGAACAGAAAATGGAGGCATTTCAAGTGACTCGGAAATTCTTTTAGGTCACAAGATTCAAATCTTTTTGTAAAAATTTTGAGTCCTCCCCTGCATGGAGCTTACTCACGAAGAACTAATCGTAGAGGGAGAGGAAAGAGATAGAGAATTCACCTCACAAACACATAATCCGGACAACTCATACAATTATTCTGGTGGTGTAAGGCGAAAGGCGTATATGTTTGACGGAGAAGGGAATTATTTCGACAAGGAATGGGATTTATCAGAGGGAAGAGATAAAGAATTTTGTTGGTATCATGTTGAACTTCCAAAGTGGAACCAGAAACTCTCACAATCTGCACGGTATCTTATCGATGTACTCTGTCCACCTCTGAATCTCCAAGACATTCTATCACTAGTTAGCAATGGACCCTTTTGCGCGCATGTTAATGGTGCTCTAGTTTTTCGAGTTAATTCACCTGGCCCTGCATCCAGCAACTTTACATTTAGAATTGCTGCAAGAGTTACCGAGAATTTGGTGATCACTGTGTCATTAGGTCGCGTTCCAAGATTGGGGTTTTCCCCAGTAAAGGAGTCTCTTTTGTCAGAGATTCCTATTGTGGATAGTCCAAGTAATGGTGAACAAAGGGGAAGGGGTAGAACTGTGATCAGGGAACATGTTCTCGATTTTCTGCTGACCAAGAATCATTTTGAAGAGGCTGACAATCCTGTGCCTAAATCTGTGTCGAATCTTGTTATTCACGTTTTAGATAGGCATGTGGATCATGTTCAAGATATTGTGACAAAGCTAGAGATTGAGTTGGATTCTGTAGAATTGGAATTAGACAAAGGTACATTCTGTTATACATGTTTTATTTTCAAAAGTTAGTTGGAGTTTGTTATAGATGATTCAAACGAATGATTTCTCTGTATTCATTGCAGGTTGTTTTGCCTTAAAGCAACAAATGTTGGAGGATAGAAGATTTCCAAAGGTGCATCTTGACTCACAGCGCCTCCTCCAGGTACGTAATTCCTTATTCCTATCAATACCATATCAAGTGATGAAGAGACGTGAGGGAGTTGCTCGGATGAAGAGACATGTGATTTCTGTTGAAACAGATACTCGATATGCTCAAGACTCTAGGCATATGTTTCATTTGTTATTAGTTACTTTTAATGCAGGTGATTGCGTATGGGGAGCAAGTAATTCCAAGAGTAAAGGAGAAGTGTTGTTCAAAAGATTGGTTTGCCAGTGATGACATCAACACCCTTGAAGAGCTAATTGGTCAACTCAAGAGTCTAAAGGAAAGTGTTGGGTTTATAGCGAATCGTGTCACAGGAATTCAGGCTGGTCTTGAAAGCTGGCAGGCTGACCAAATTACTGGAAAACTATACAATCTTTCTTTCCTCTCCATCATGTTTCTCCCCTTGTCTGTTGTAACTGGAGGTGAAATTTCTTAAGAAACCTTTTTATTTTTCATAAAATATGGAGCCTTAGCGCAATATATATATGACCAGGATATCATTGGTTCAAATCGTGAAAATAGCTTCTTGTAGAACTTCCGTTTTGAATCTTTACATTTGCATAGCATGTTTTAGATAACTTACATGGTTTGGTTTATCACAGTTTTTGGGATGAACGTGGGAGGGGTTCCGTGGACCAATCAAAACGAGCCTGAGCTGAAGGACGGATTCCACAATGTCATGTTTCTTTGTGTGGCTCTCATATTGTTGGTTCTGTTTTGCTTCCTTTTCCCTGAATTTTATACTTCTGTATCGACTTGGAAAAGAAGACGAGACATGAAAAGAAGTTGCTCTCTCAACCACAAATCTTCTTTTAGAAGCAGTAGTAGGGAAAGAAATGATAAAGAAGGTTACCAACGGCTGTATTGACTTGAAAATAGGTGCACTTACTCTACCTGTAGATGTGTTTCACCAAAAGACAATATAACCAGCAAAGGATTCCTTGGGTGGAGTAGATTGCCTACAAGCTAAGCTGGGACTAAAGGCAGCCTTAACGATCTGACAATGTCGAGCGGAAGGGCCATATCTCAATAGATTAGAGTCGCTCAGGGGATAGTTCATAATATTTCTTTGTTATTTAGATAAGAGCCATGAGTTCATAATTGATATATGCCAACGGAATTTAACTTATTCCTAAAAAAATGTATTAAGTGAGGGTTAGCACCATGATCGTTCTTGCTCACTATTTTTATCAAATCCTAGTCTGCTTTCCCAAGCAAACGTAGAAAACGTTAATATTTGAAATCACTAACCACACAATGGAATGAGAAATAGTTTGATATCCTTAGAACACAAAAATTATGAAATTACGAAAAGGGACAATGAATTAAGGATGATAGAAAAGTTTTAAAATTAGGTGTAGGTGACTCAAGTTTTAATTATTGAGTAGGGGTAATAACTTTTAAATTAAGGAGTAAAGGGATTAAGTTTTCATACCAAGTTTTTTTTTTATTTTACACTTCGGCCCATAAGAAATGGAGGGGAAAAAAAGACACCAATGGCTCACCTTTTTCCTTTTTCCTTTTTCTTTCTTGCTATTCTTCTTCTTCTTCCTACTATTGCTATCAAAACCAACTTTATTCCTATACCATTGGACATTACATTATATGTGATTTTGATAAGTAAATTGATGATTTTTAGTCTAATTTCTCATTTAGGTACTTTGAATATTTCTTCAATAATTCACAGTCGCGTATCCAACAGTTAAGTCATTTGTTGCAACAGATAGCTTACTTGTTGGATACAGTACCATGCCAAGCTGGGATAAAATCAAAATCGTGTCCCAACAGATAAGTCATTTATTGCAATCGATGAGTCATCTGCTGCACCAGATGACTCGTATGTTATAATAGAGGGCATACCTGTTGGATACATATTATAGTACCAAGTGAAAATTACAGAAGTTTTTCGCAACAAATAAGTCATTCATTATAACATTTGAGTCATATGTTGTAACAGATAATTTATCTGTTGCAACAGATGGTTTATTCGATGAATATATATTGCAGTATCAGGTCAAGATGGGACAAAATTAGAAGTTTGTCCCACGGGCAAGTCATTTATTGCAAAAGATGAGTTATTTGTTGCAGCGGATGACTCATTTATTACAACAATTGACTTACATGTTGGATAAGTTTCTGAATTTGGACATGTATCCAACAAGTGAGTCATCAGTTACAATAAGAGAGTCATCTCCAAATTATTCGGTGGAAACATATAGAATTGCATATTGTGAGGAAATTAATTTGGTACCTCCTGAAGATTCTTGGATTGTTCCTTTAGTGATTTTGGAGAGAGAAATACCTCATCCATATGTTGACCCAAACAAACCGGGAAGAAGGAGAACGAAGAGGAGACGTGGAGTCATGGAATCATTTCAACAAAAAAATGTTCGATATTTAAAAATATTGGCAACAAGAGAACAACATGTACGGTTCAAAATGCTTCATAATTATTGTAATTGTGAAATAACTATTTTGTACTTAGTTATGACTTTGATAATTTTAACTCATTTTGGTTGATTCTATATGTTCATATTTATTACATATAAAAATAAACTAGGTATACTCATCCGTTGCAATAAAATTTGCATATGTTGCATCAGATGCATTATCTGTTGCGTCATTTGTTGCAATAGATAACCCATTATTAAAAATAATGAAATAAAATTGATCATATGTTGCAACAAATATAGAAGTTTGTTACAATAAATGTCTAATATGTACTATATATCTGTTGCAATAGATGACCTATCCTTTGAAAATAATCAAGGCTATGTGCTCATCTATTGCAATGGATAATTCATTTGTTGCAACGAATGATTCACATGTTGCAACAGATGAGCATCAATTGCAATAGATGAGCATATGTATTTTATTATAATTATCTTTCAATTAATAAGTTCAATTATATTTTCAATGCATTATAGAGTAATTACATGATCAACTATCTGCATATGTCTTAAATAAAGTGATCAATTGATTATTTTAATTTGAAATGCTTCATTTAACTCATAATTAGTTATAAATAAATTATAATTAACTTTCTATTAATAAGTTTAATTTAATTTTGCAAAAAATTTAATTAATTTTTCAAAGCATTATAAAGTAATTACATGATCAAATAACTATATTTGTCTTAAATAAAGTGTTGATTATTTTGCTATGAAATGCTTCATTATCTCATAATTAGTTAGAAACAAAATTATTTAATTATAGTTACCTTTCAATTAGTAAATCTAATTACATTTTCAATGCATTATAGGGTGATTAATGTTCAACTAACTAGATTTGTCTTAAATAAGGTGCAATTGATTATTTTTATTTGAAATGCTTTATTAACTCATAATTAGTGATAAGTAAAGTTATTTAATTATAATTACCTTTGAATTAATAAGGCCAATTACATTTTCAATTCTTTACAAAGTAATTACATGATCAACTAAATGTATTATATATGTCTTAAATAAAGTGATTAATTGATTACTTTAATATACAATGTTTCATTAACTCATAATTAACAATAATTAAAGTTAATTAATTATAATTGTCTTTCAATTACTAAGTTTAATTAATTTTTTAAGGCATTACTGCATTTGTCTTAAATAAAGTAATCAATTGATTATTTTAATTTAAAATGCTTCATTAACTCATAATAGTGGTAAGTAAAATTATTTATATGCCTTTCTAGAATCTGTCTAAGTAAATTCTAATTAGCTTTCAAATAGTAAGTTTCATTACAATCTAAATGCATTATTTGTTGCAATAGATAACATACATGTTGAAAATAATCAAATAAATATGATTATTTGTTGCAACAAATATAAAAATTTGTTACAACAAATGTCTAATATGTACTATCAATTGCAATAGATGACCTATTTGTTGAAAATAATCAAGTATATATGATCATATGTTGCAATGGATGATTCATTAGTTGCAACAAATATGAGTTTGATCAATTTCAATCGACTCTATATATATTTGATATGAAATGCTTCATCAATATATTGCAATAGATTATAACTTGTTGCAAAATATGTGTATATTTTCTTCATTATTTCCAACGAATGAGTCATCCAATGCAATTGGTTATAACCTATTGCAATAAATGTTGATTGCTTTCATTGTATGTATCATATGTTGCAATAAGTAACTCATAACTTGTTGCATTATATGTCTATTTCCAATACTATAATTTAATTTTTTACAAGTTTAAAAATAAAAATGAAATTCATGGTAAAATAATTAAATATTTATAAAATATAAATATCGTCATATGTAATTACAAAATATGATTAACTAAATATGATAAGCGTTCATGAATTACGAGGGCAAATCTTTCATGCCAAAACAAACTGACATGCCGGAGTAGTTTATCCAAATCTCATCCATTTTCTTATTCTTATCCCCCAAAGCATCATCATCATCACCCTTATATTTATCCCGCACTTGAGAAAATCATACACTACGTTTATTTGAAAACGTGCATTGTTAACCTTCAGCAGATCAAGAAAATACAAATTTGATTTCTTCCAACAGATGGGTCATATGTTGGAAGAAATAAAAAAAATTGTTATTGATTTGACTTCATCCTACCTATAACCCATCTGTTGCAACAAATAAGATATTTATTTGAAAATAACATAACAATGAATATATATTTTTATAACACTAAAATATTTATTACCAATATTGTCTACGACACCAATGAAATTCAAAACACTACAAACACCACTCGATTTCACCAATTAAACAACATCAATCTTATGTTTTTACCAATATACTTAGAACAACAACAAAAGAAAAAATTTATGCAAAGAGATGACCATCAAAAAATTAGGAATGTATTTGAATATAGAATTGATGCAAAGAGGACTCTTCGCGAGATCAAATTTTTTTCTCACATTTGAAACTGCTAACAAATACATAAAGAGAAGACAACTCAAGTTTTTCTTTTTCTTTATAACTAAAAAGGAAAAGAAATCAAACTTCTTTCTCACATTTGAAACTACTAACAAATACATAAAGAGAAGACGACCCAAGTTCTTTTGGGCAGATTCTCTAACTTACACTATTGAAAAACGCATGACTCCATGAAAAACTCTTCTAATCTTTCTCCAATTGTAACATAACTACTTATAAATTAGAACAAAGAATCATTTATATTAGCCAATAGCTCAGTTTGATTAAATAAATCTAAGCATTTCAATTTTGTCCAAGTGTAGATAACAATAGTTCAGTTTGTCATGTACTTGTTGCATGGGTCTAAAAATATTTTAACCACATGGATCTTATATTCCATATATGTAGGAGTTTATAAGTAAAGAATAATAAAACCTTTCTCTTTGTCGGAATTGTCTAAAGTAAAAACCATGTGAACTCTAAAAAGACTTTGGCATTGATTTTTGAGGCAATAAATTATTTATGATATCTTGATTATGTTTTCTTTTCTTCATTCTTTCCAACAAGATCAAGAATACCAACAACACCAATTGATTCAATACAACAAAACAAACATCAACAATAAATATATCAACAATTGTTTGAGTATAACAAATAATAAATATGTCTACCAAAAAACTCAAAATTTACAGTAACTATTACTATTACACAACAATGTTGGAGAACAAAAAAAATCTCATTTCGCTTCTTTTTGGATTTTTCGAGATCAACAACAACAAATTTTAAGATTTTTTTTCGAATATATTTTTTTTTCAAGCATCAAATTCTAAAATTGTTAAAGAAAAGACAATTCAAGTTTATCTTTTTCTTTAAAACTATAAAGCTCTAATTTCTTTCAAAAATAATTTTTTTAACCTGAGAAGTGAGAAGAGAGAAAATTGATGCTTAGAATCGAAGAAGTTGTAGGAAGTCGATAGAGAGCAACGACGGAGCAGATTTGAGAAAGTGACGTTTGAGTTGGAAGAGAAGAAAGAAGATGAAGAAGAGAAGTTGAAGAAAGTGAATGCCAAGAAAGTGGAGAGAATTTTGAATTATTTTGTATTTTAAGATTTGGTGTTTTGAACTTTAAAAAAGATTATAAATTTTGAAAATGTAAATTCAGTCCCAATTAACTTAGTTTAATAATTAAATGTCTTTGACTTTCTTTTGGTCAAAATAGTCACCAAAATTTAAACAAGGACTTGAGAGATACCTTATATTTAATTT